GAAGAGGAAAAGAACATTACCCTTGCATGTAGAACAAAAGAAGATGAAAAGAACATTACATTGCATGTAGAACAAAAGAAGATGAAAAGAACATTACCCTTGCATGTAGAACAAAAGAAGATGAAAAGAACATTACATTGCATGTAGAACAAAAGAAGAGGAAAAGAACATTACCCTTGCATGTAGAACAAAAGAAGATGAAAAGAACATTACATTGCATGTAGAACAAAAGAAGATGAAAAGAACATTACCCTTGCATGTAGAACAAAAGAAGATGAAAAGAACATTACATTGCATGAAAAGAATATTATCCTTGCATGTAAGAAAGTAGAATAGAATTGCATGAGACAAATGCATGGTGCATGTTAAATGATGTAATTGGGTTTAGGTGTCATTTACGGGTAAATGACAAATCGGTTAGGGGAGGATTGTGGCACCCTGCATTATTAGAAAAACTAAAAAGAAATATTCATAGAAATATGATTTAATTTTTATTCAGTTTATTAACTAGTTGTTAGTTATTTAGACGAAGAATAATTAAGTTTTGAGAATAATTCTCTAATTGTATTTAGGCGACCCTAAGGAAGAAGAAGAAGAAAAAAGAAAAAAAAGAAAAGAAGAAGAAAAGAAAAGGAGAGGAGGAGAAATAGATAATTCGGTGTCAAGAGATATCTAGGCCAACGCGCCTGACCGAATTTCAAAAACAATGGAAATTGTTATTTGGAAGAATAGAATTAGAGGTAATTAAAAGAAAGAAAACAGACTTGGTAAAAGTGTATGAACATACGTACGATTGATAAAAATATCGGTCAAAACATCTGGCCTACTTTTTTGTGTAGAAGCTCATTATCAATTTGGAGAAATGGGATTTTTAGAACAATGGAAAACGAAATATTAATCGGAGAAGGGTGTCTTTGGAATGAGAAGGTGACCGCTGGAATTGTATACAGATCCTGACCTGTTGAAGATTAGAACCCCACGATGATGAAGTGAAGATATTTTCAATTCAGATAATTAAGATTTTTGACTATCAGGTCTGAGCGAAAAAACAAAGAGGTGAAAACAATTGTTTTGGCTCACAGAAAGCGCCAGCGAGACGACGAAAAATTCTTCCTGAAGTCATATCTAATTAGCGGCGGGCTGTTTTGAAAAGCCAAAAAAAGTGAGAAAGGCCGAGATTGTCATTTTTCGTGCGTGCGAAAAAAAGGCCAAATTGGATTTTTTTTTTTTAGCAAGGTGTCTCTTTCCCAGAACAAAGCCGGGATAGACCACGCCCGATTGGAGACGTCACGAAGGACGGGGAGACGCCCAACCAGAATCTCATTAGCCGAAAGCGGTCACGTGGTATGCGAAAAAAAGAGGAGAAAGGACGCTCGACCAAGACCCATTGGTCGAAAACGGTCACCTGACATACGTGAGACCGGAGAGATGGTATGCGCCCCCACCCAGAGGCGCCAGGAGGAAGTAGGGGTGAAAATAAGAGCGATAATGGGAAATCAGAACTAATGCGACTTTTGGAATTATCAAGAAAACCCTGACGCCGACAGACCCACCCCAGTTTGTTGCGGCGTCACAAAAAGCAGAACCCCAACCGACAGAAATCAGAGAGTTGCGGGGTAGACGGCCAGAGCAGTTGGAGAGCGGACGGCGGGCCCTGTTCATTCTCGCCCGGTTGCGGGCAAGAAGGGCGGTCCGTTTGGCCCGGACAGGCAGAGAAGTTGCAGCCAAGTCGAAGAGAAGAAAATTGTTCTCAAAAGCCGCAGAGAAGTTGGAGCAGAATTGCAGGCCAGACAAGGCAAGAATTGCAGGCCAGACAGGCAGTAAAGTTGCAGGCCAAACAAGCAGATGAGTTCAGCCCCGGAAGGCAGAGAGAAGAGATCACCTCAGACGGCAGAGAGAAGAGTTCGGACCTTGGCGAGAAGAGTTGCAGGACGGAAGAAGAAGAAGTTACTTGCAGTTGCGTCTAGAAGAAGTTGAAACCAGGCCAAGCCTGAGGGTGGAAATTCGTCCAACCCAAATCAAGTGAAGAAATACGTCCAACTCAAGCCGAAGCGAATAAGCTCGTCCAACTCAAGCCGAAGAGAAGAATCAGCCGTGAACGACTGGTAGAGATTAGCGCCCAGTGTCGAAACCAAACCACACTCCGACATACAAAATTCTAGAGAGTAGGCAACTCGAAGTCTTTAAGTTTGTATGATAGAAGCTTGGTGCCACAGTCCACAAAGCGGGTCGGGAAGTAAGAATAATTTTTATGTAACAAACATTAGATATAAAAGGTTGTTACCCTTTTTTATCAGTAATTTTTTGGCCTCGTGAGTTTTTCTTTTACTTGTGTATTGCCACCCCGTCGAACTCAACTGGCATATTTAATCCCTGTTTGATCCCGTCTGTCTAAGATCTAATCACAACGTGGGTAGGCAGACCGGAGATCAGTACAGTTACCCTAGTAACCAGGTGTTGGAAGCGAGTTGGGAACGGCGAGGCTGGTAATCATCTAACCAAAGGGTTGGAACGTCACACTTGGAGCAGCAAGGAGCGAACAGCTGACGCCGCGGCAAAAACGTCACGTCACAGTTGGAGCCGCGAATGAGATCGAACGACAGAGTCGACGCTGCGACCAGGAGGAGCGACGTCACAGTTGGCGCCGTGACCAAAGGATTCGACCCTGGACCAAGTGACGTCACACAGTAAAAGAAATGCCATTCCACACATAGATGCAGTGTCAAGATTGGATTTTAATATACAGAATGTTGAAACAAAGTACGGTTGTGAAGACAGAATTTTGCACAGGGTAAATAGAGACATGTTATCCTTCAGGTGTTATCATGTGTTATCCTTTCAAGTTTGAAACTGAGCAGTATCTTGTATTAAAAAGAGTACTGGATAAAATACAGAAGAATATATGGAGCAATTGCTCTATAGCGGAAAGGCACAAGAAGAAGCAAGGCACAAATTGGCAACTCAAAGAGGAGTCATATGTAGTGGAGATCTCATTGTACCACAGAAATCATTAAGATGTCATTAAAACAGTACATGGCGGTGTATTGAACACACACCAGAGCTTGAAACTACAAGCCTAGTATATATGAGATGTGGAAGATTATGTAAGAAAATGCCCTGTGTGCAAAGATAAAGAGCTTTAGACAAACCAAGATGCATTCATAGCCAAAAGAGAAGAAGCCATGGATAAGAGTAAACACGGATCATGCATACATTAAAGATGTAGGCCTATTCCTTATACTAGTAGACTCATATTCAGGTTGGCCTGAAGTGGTTAAAGTTCCGGATAGAAAAACAAATACTGTAAAACAGGTGTTAAGAGTAGTATTTTGAGAAATGGAGTACCCAGGACATTGCTATTGGATAATGTACCAGAGTTTGCTGAAGAAATCTTATGTACATGATTAACACAAATTGGATGTAGACCATACAAAACAATCCTCAGTCAAATGGAATTGCAGAGAGGATGGCCCAGACAGTAAAAGTTGGACTGAACGTATTCTCTCCAGGGAATTGCAGTCTAGAAAATTATCTACCAATGTTGCTTTAAAGTTACAGGACCATCCTGCATTTGGGCAGAACACAAAGCTCCTTGGCATTAATGGGAAGGTAAATTAGAACCCCAATAAACATTTCCTTCTCAATAAATGAGAATGTATCGTACAAAAGGAATAAGGATTTGAATCCTGAGAAAGCATAATTTGTAGTGCAAAAAAGATATAATACAGCGGTATTAACAAATAATGGATGGGGTGTCTTAGCTCGTGAAGACCAATTTAGATTGTGAAGAGAGCTGGAAGAAATGGAGGAAGAACCTGATGCAGAAGAGAGGGATCAGAATTAGCACCAAAACACAAAGTAGATTTGCACACCCGCAAAATCGGATCAAAACGACAAAAACAGATTTCACAATAAGGTGTGAAATTAATTTTCTGACCAATGAAAGGAGGCGATTTGCTAAACCAAAAAAAAAAGATAATGAGCCAGTGTGAAAAAAAAGTCAACAATAAATACAGAGTTTTCAAGTCAGTCGCCAGTCAGTCAGTCAGAGAAGGGCGCAAAAGATCACAGAAGATTGACAGTAAATTTCATCACTGACTCAAACCGAACAAAGAGCCGAAAAGTGGAGTAGGAAGGAAGGAACAACAACAACAACAACAAATTTACAACTGACTTCAAAACAATTCATAAGTACATTTTCCTTTTATCTTTATTCCTCATTCACACTCTTTTTTTTCAACTTAAATTGCTCGCCCTTTTTCATTTTACAACTATACATAAAAAAAAAAGAAACAGACATTATTCTGCTACTCTGTTAAAAGACAGCGAACACAGACATTTTTATCAAAATCACATTTTTGCTTAAACGAACTAAAACATTAATCTTTTTACCCTATTCACAAGATAATAAATATACAATGTTCTATTTTTTATAAACGTTCCTTATCGTGTTGTTTCTTCTTGAAATTTGCGTTGTATTTTGTGGGCAGGGTATCCCGTATTAAATTCTCCTTTAATCCGGGTACGCTGAACCCCACAAGTGGTGACCAATCGACGTGAAATGAACTCGCAAATTTCCAACTGAAAGAAAAACTTCAACAAAATAAGCAACACATTTTTTTAATATATAACCATAATCATCAAGACACATAGAAAATGGATACACACACTACGGAACCTATGGAAGCCGCTATAACAATTAACTTACCAACTTACAACCCAACTAACGTACAAATTTGGTTTGCACAGTTAAATGCAATTTTCAACGCAAAGAAAATTACATCGCAAAGTTCAAAATATGCCTACGTTGTCGAAAAAATCCCGCAGATGTAGCATCCGAGGTAGTGGATCTACTTAATGACATGCCGGAAGAAAAACCTTATGACACGTTGAAAGCTGCAATTATTAGACGTGTCGGTAAATCGGAGGAAAGAAGGTTACACGACTTATTCAATAATGTGAACCAGGGATATATGAAACCTTCACAGCTTTTAAGAAAAATGCGATCCTTATTAGGAGACAACACCATGTCCGAGGTGGTGTTAAAGAAACTGTGGACGGATAAACTACAAACACATACAACACAGATACTCGCATCACTCCCCGATGATTTACAGCTGGAGAAAATAGCAGAAATAGCAGACAAAATACATGACAACAACCAAGACAAAAATGTATACGCCACATCACATGCACCAACAGATACAGCAACATTACCAGACAAGTCATCTGAATTGTCGCAGCTGTATAAGCAAATGGCGAATCTCAGCTTACAAGTACAGAGTCTGATACAAGCACAGAAATCTCAGCGTTCTCGTCCAACATTCAGAAATAGATCCTACTCACCACACAGACGTCGAAGTAGATCGAACTCTTTCTCCAGAGATCAAATTACACACGATACCTGTTGGTATCATTATAAATTTGGAAGAAATGCAAGGAAGTGCACTGAACCATGCAATTTCAATTCGAAAACTTCTCACATTTCTACACAACACCAGGGAAACGACTATGCCAGCAGCAAGTAAAGACGACATTAGCTGCTGGATTAAAACAAGAGAGTCGTCTATTTTACATCCGGGACAGAAGTAACGGATATTTATTTTTAGTCGACACCGGCGCTCAGATCAGTGTTATCCCACCAAATACAAAACAAAAACCTACATTCTCCACATACACATTACAGGCAGCAAATGGATCAAAGATAGAAACATACGGTGAGATATCACTAACGCTCGATTTGAGTCTAAGAAGATCTTTTCCATGGATTTTCACACAAGCAAATGTGAAAACACCTATCCTAGGAGCGGATTTCCTATCCCATTTCGATTTATCAGTGAATATGGCTACACACTCTCTCATTGACAGTAACACAAACCTAAGAACAAAGGGAATCTACAAGTCAACAGGAATTAGTTCAGCAATACCAACGGCTAATGGCCTACATGAATTGATAAAAAAAATTTCCTACACTAACCACGCCTTTAACACATACAGATGAAATCCGTCACACTGCTAAACATTATATCACCACAGCTGGACCACCTACACACACATCACCACGCAGATTACATCCGGACAAATATAAAATAGCAAAAGACGAATTTCAACATATGTTGCAGTTAGGCATCATATGTCCTTCAAATAGCCCATACTCCTCTCCGCTACATATGGTTCCGAAACCAGAAGCTGGCGCATGGCGACCTTGTGGGGATTTTAGGAATCTCAATGCAAAAACTGTTCCTGATAGATATCCTATACCGCACTTACATGATTTCGCCATAGGTTTGCAAGGAACCACAGTTTTTACAAAATTGGATTTGGTTAAGGCGTACTACCAAATTCCAGTAGCAGAAGAAGACATAAAGAAAACTGCAATTACCACTCCTTTTGGACTCTATGAATTCACCAGGATGCCATTTGGGTTACGTAATGCCGCCCAAACCTTTCAAAGACTCATTGATGAAGTTTTGAGAGGATTGCCTTTTACCTTTGCATATATCGATGACGTGCTTATCGCCAGTCGTGATGGAAAAGAACACCTATACCATATTCAACAAGTCTTCGAGAGACTGGCACATTTTGGCTTAAAGATAAATGTCCACAAAATGCGATTTTGCTGTTTCAAAGTTAAATTTCTTGGGCCATGTGATCGACAAAAACGGAATCACACCTGTCCCAGAGAAAGTAGCAGCAATACAAAACTTTCAGCAGCCGACATCACTGCGTCAATTAAGACGATTTCTCGGTTTAATAAATTACTACCGTAGATTTATTCCAGGTTGTTCCAGAATTTTGACCCCACTCACAAACTTGCTGCAAAAACAGAAGAAGAAAAATGCAAAAATACTGATTGACGGAGAAGCGTTAGCTGCATTTCAAAATGCTAAAAAAGCGTTAGCAGATTTTACCAAGCTCTCTTACATCAGTGACGATGCTAACTCAACACTTACATTGACAACTGACGCCTCAGGAGATTCAATTGGAGCAGTTCTACATCAGAAGCTAAATGGTTCAGAAAAGCCAATCTCCTTTTTCTCGGTCAAATTAAACAAAGCACAGCAGAAGTACAGTACCTTCTCGAGAGAGTTACTAGCTATTTACTTAGCAATAAGGCATTTTCGACATCTGCTCGAGGGACGAAACTTTACTGTTTTCACAGACCACAAACCCCTCACTTACGCTTTACATGTGAACACAGATAAATACACACCCAGAGATACCCGACAACTGGACTACATATCCCAATTTACATCGGATATCCGCTATATTAAAGGTTCAGACAATATCATGGCAGATACACTCTCGCGCTACACGATACAATCCATCGATTCTGAAACCCTTCCCTTCGACCTCATTGCAGATGAACAAAAGGAAGATACCACATTATACAAAATAAAAGAGGACACTTCTTCTTTACAATTGAAGGAACACCCCGTCCCATTTGGAACAAAAACACCACTCTGTGATGTTGGGACTGGTTATTCAAGACCATATATTCCACCTTCATTGAGAAAAAAAGATATTTCTGCATTTTCACAATCTCTCACATCCCGGACACCGAGCAACTGACAAGTTGATTAGCAGTCGTTTTGTCTGGCCAAACATGCATACTGACATAAAACGCTGGACTCAAACTTGTTTAAAGTGCCAAAAAAGCAAAGTAAACAGACATACTAAGTCCACTCCTGGGCATTTTCTAAAACCAGATGGTAGATTCACGAATCTTCACATGGACATAGTGGGTCCCTTACCAGAAGTAAACGGACATAGTTACCTGCTCACTATTATCAACCGATTCACAAGATGGCCTGTCGTTGTTCCTTTAAAGTATATATCTGCAGAAACGATCTCTAAAAGTATATTACAGGAGTGGATTGCCGTTTTTGGTTGTCCCTCAGTAATAACTACAGACCGAGGTTCTCAGTTCCAATCTACGCTCTTTGATGAGTTCACAAAACTATTGGGAGTTAAGCATATAACAACAACGGCTTATCACCCATGTGCCAATGGCTTAATTGAACGTTTCCACAGGCAACTTAAGACAGCATTAACTGCAAATAATGATTCTAAGACGTGGTTAGAAAATCTACCGCTAATATTACTATCCATTCGGAATGTAATCAAAGAAGATTTAGGATGTACAGCATCCGAAATGGTTTTTGGAACGTCCTTGACGTTACCAGGACAGTTTTGTGATAAATCCAGTCAACTCCAACCAACTACATCTTTTGTACAAAGATTTAAGCAAAGAATGAATGAACTAGTTTTCACACCCACTAGAACACAAACAAAAGACCTTTACACTCCAAAAGACCTCCACAATTGTGAATATGTTTTCGTACGAAACGACACAGTAAAAAGGCCTCTTTGCCCTACTTATACGGGACCTTTCCAAGTAGTCAACAGAAAACCCAAATATTTCACAATTGTAGCAAAAGGCAAGCAAGACACTGTCTCTATAGACAGACTAAAACCAGCGTACTTGGATTTACCTACAAAGGAAAGTACGTCGGAACATTCTAAAGCCACGACAAATACCAACGTAAGTGAAACATTTTCTACACCTCCAAACACACCTAAAAACATTACCACAAGATCGGGTAGACACGTACACTGGCCTACTCATTTTAAAACATATATTAGATATTGAAAAATATTTTCAATATTTATCAATCTGGAGGGGGGTTTATAGGATACAAATCCTATATTCCAACAAATGACTAAAAAAAACACAAAGTAGATTTGCACACCCGCAAAATCGGATCAAAACGACCAAAAACAGATTTCACAATAAGGTGTGAAATTAATTTTCTGACCAATGAAAGGAGGCGATTTGCTAAACCAAAATAAAAAAAAGATAACAAGCCAGTGTGAAAGAAAAGTCAACAATAAATACATAGTTTTAAAGTCAGTCGCCAGTCAGTCAGTCAGAGAAGGGCGCAAAAGATCACAGAAGATTGACAGTAAATTTCATCACTGACTCAACCCGAAAAGCCGAGTAGGAAGGAAGGAAAACAACAACAACAACAACAAATTTACAACTGACTTCAAAACAATTCATAAGTACATTTTCCTTTTATCTTTATTCCTCATTCACACTCTTTTTTTCAACTTAAATTGCTCGCCCCTTTTTCATTTTACAACTATACAAAAACAAAAGAAACAGACATTATTCTGCTACTCTGTTAAAAGACAGCGAACACAGACATTTTTATCAAAATCACATTTTTGCTTAAACGAACTAAAACATTAATATTTCTTTTTACCCTATTCACAAGATAATAAATATACAATGTTCTATTTTTTATAAACGTTCCTTATCGTGTTGTTTCTTCTTGAAATTTGCGTTGTATTTTGTGGGCAGGGTATCCCGTATTAAATTCTCCTTTAATCCGGGGCTACTCACCAAAGGAATATATGGTTTGCATATGTTCAAAAGTAGATGAAGAGAGATAGTTTGAAATACTTAGCATTCTCGGATTGTTGAGACAGAATTCTTTGAAGAGCTGCATGCCGGTTAGAGGTGATTAATTTTACATAGACGAGTACTTCAACAACAGTTGCAAGGAACTGAAACAAAACTTTTCACATGACTTCAGAAGTTCAGACACTTTTTTTCATTAATTTAATTTTTCTCCTCATTTTATAGCAAAAAGACTTTTGCGTAGGTTCGCTGCTTTCTTTCCTTCTTTTTGGCTCACTGGCTAATTTCAGTGAAGGCAAGGTTTTTATTGATCCCAAAATTTTTTTACATATACTCGCAAATATCTTTCCTTCTTCTTCTTCCTCAGTCACCAGTGAATTTGAAGGGAGTTATTATTATTTTGCACTCACTACTTTATATTTTTATATACGTAGTATTTTTTCTCTTTTCATTTTGTATTTTCAAATAAACTCAAGCAACAGAAAGTGAAAATAAACTATTAAAGAATTTACTTTTTGTTTTTACAAGTATGTTATGAATAAAAAAAGACAATGAAATAAATAATCTTTTATCGGCAACCTCATACTAGTGCTGGATTAGGGTTTGTAACATTCACACCTGAACTTAGTATTTTTTTAATTGCTTCGAAAGCTAAAACTTAAAGCACCTTTTTAGTTTTTTGTCATTTTTATCATCTCTATGGAAAAAATGTTATTTAAAAAGTAAGGATTGTAAGTTAACTGAACCTCCAAACCAAAAATGCTTGCTTAGAGTCTGAGAAGGCTTATTCCGGTAAAAACATTGATTAGATTCAATAAAACTTCAACTTCGTTAGCTAATATTTTTTCAAGTTTAATTTCATGTATTTCTATATAGAAAGATGTAATTCACTTTAAAATTAAGCATCGTGCAAAAATAATATTAAAAAGATTCAATGGTATTTGAACCGTACAAAAAAATGAAAATTTTATCCCAAATTCAATTGTATAGCAGCAAATAACAGATGTTTAATAGAGATAAATGAAATTTATGGACCAGTATAAAATGTCCATATTTTTAACACCTGATGCTGAAACAATGAGTACTACTTAAGGTTAAGAAGCTTGTCGGAATACCGGAAAGAAAGAAAGAAAGACGTAGTTAGAGGAGGAATAAGTAACTTCCGGAATACAACTTCCGGTTATAGTTCTGCAGTATATTTCTGCCTATCTTAATTTGTGGTGGTAGCAGCAGTTGCTAGCACCAAACTTGAAACAGCGGCGTGAGTGTCTTGTACTTCCCCCCTCTTTAGGAACTCTCTTCCTCTAGGCAGGTAAGTCAAAAATTGCATAAAAGAAACCTTAGACCTTGCAGAAGGAAAAATCAAGCGAAAATTATTAAACTGGCATTAGGATCTACGGCATTACTCACAATCAGTACTCCATCATCAGTTAGTATGTATCGTTTTTTATTTTTAGACCTTATTTTTAAATTGATGCTATCTCTACTCCATTTATGAAGCTTACGTCAAATATTGATCAAAACAAATAATTTCTGGACGTTAATTTTAAACTTAGGCTTCTTTTTGTCGTTTACCCGGTCGTGCAATACTATAGCCGCCATTGCTTTCTTTCTCTTGATCGTTCATTTTGTTTTTATTTTTTTATTGCTTAGTTGTTTTAGTCGGTCGCCTTCGTATTTTTTCTTGGTATCTATCACTTTGAATTTCTTATTCAGGATGATTTAACTAATTGACTGTACTCGAAAGAGTATCAGCTCTATAGATACGTAGTGTTAAAAGTTCCTTTTTCTTTCAATATACCACTTGCACACCACACAAGTGTGTACACGAACTATACGATCTCTGGTGATCCATTCTCTGCTACGGAAGATCACAATTAAATTTTGTGGTATTAAAAAAAGGTTTACTATACATTGAAATTTAATTTTTATTCTTTATCTTAAAAAAACAGTATTACTCTTACTAAGCGTAGATTTTATTTAAAGTGATTGCTTTAAATTCTGAAATAGTTTCTGTTTGGGTGATTATTTTCACAGTCAATTCAAGTGGTAAAGAAAGTAAACTTGAAAACATTCCAATTTAGTGATTAAAAATCCTTGTATAATTAAATTTTATCATTGTAATCTGTTACAAACTCCAATTACTTACGTTCATTTTATTAGTTTTTTTTATTTATTTTGCTTATTTTGATTTAAAAATGTAAGTAAATGAACAAATATAAAATTAAAACGCTTCGGCTTAATTCTGTAATTTTATTTCAAATTAAGAATCAAGGATGCCTTTTCTTTAAAATCAGTTTGGCATTTTTCATTTAAATAAAGCTTTATTTATTTGTTGTTAGCACTTTTAGCTGCCTAATAAAAAAAAATTATGAATTGAAATCTTTATTGAATTTAATTCGTTTACACAAACATTAGTATCCAAGTTACATGACAGAAACTTTGATTTATAAAATTATGATTATTTTATACTTTTACTGAAGGTCAAATTTACGGAAATTCCTCAAATGAGATGTTCTTGATTATCAGCCCCAAAGTATTATTGAAACAAACTCTAAATTCTCGGTATTTGATTTTGAATTATTCATATATATATATATATATATATATATATATATATATGGTTTCCTAACCACGTGCATAAGACTTTTTTATGTCAGTAATTTCCAGACATATTCATTATTTATAGCCTATTTATGGATTATGGAATTACATATTTTAGTGTTTCAGGCTCTTTATTACATATGGCTTAAAGATAAATTAATTTGGTAAATTTAAACATTGACTCAATTACAAAACAAAAAAAAAAAAAAAAAAAAAAATCTTCACTCACCAGTGAATATTGCGTCCCCACTCCCTCAAAAAAAAGTTTTAAGATCTCTAAAGCAACAATTTTTTTTTTTTTTTTTTTTTTATTGAACTGACCAAAAATATTAGCGGTAATGCATCAGCGGTAATTAAAGGCTTACACTAGTAATCACAAACACACACATATGAATTAAACAAGTTTAACTATTTTAAACAGTACAGTTAATTATTAAAATTTAACTTAAAAATGCATGTTGCATTTTTCCTAGGACCTAAACCAATACTTTTTTTACCATTGTTTTTTTTTCTTAATTAAACTGTGAATTATGGCTTGATTATTCAAAAACTTATTCAAAGCGTATTATAAGTCTCTATTTTGAAAAATAATGGTTTTGATTTTTGATGAAGGAAAAAAAATACAAAATGAAACTGGTCCGAAGTAAAAGTTTATTCAGTCTTCTCTTCAGTGTTTCAAAAGAAATTGTTTTTTGTGTTGTGATTATAATTATTTTTCTCCATTTTGTAAACTTCTCTATTGATGAAAACTAAATGCTATTTCTGTATCTTAAAGTTTCCGTAAAATTAAAATTATCTCTAATAAAATGATGAATGCCAATAAAAAACAAAACAAACAAAAAAAAAAAAAAACCCTGAATCGAATCCTATTAACCGCTTAATTTAGGGGAGATAATCATTTATATCCTGTTTTTCTTCAAACTTTTCAATGTCTGTCTGAGTTATGTTGCTTGATTCTCATATGCATCTGAAAATTTTCAATTAAAATTATAACTCTACTAATTATTTAATGAATTCATTTGCCATCTCTTATGTGGTCTCGCTTGAATTAAGTCCTGTAATAGAATGTCGACAGGAAATCAATTGGAACATTGTTAATTTTTTGTGTTGATGCTTCATGGTAAAATGTCATTTTACATTAGTTTTTTTACTTGTATCATTGATAACCAAAATGTGTATGCATTTATAATTCTGCATGAAATTCTCTGAAGATTACATGGATCGACAAGCATCTGAAAAAGGTATAATAATCAAAACACTGTGATAACAACAACACATAATTTGGACATACTGTAAATTATTCCTTTTATAAAGGCCCATTATATCAAGAATAGGTAGCGCTTCACATAAACTAGCTTGCACACTAAAATATTTTACCTTGCTACTCTACAATTAGTTTCTTGTATATTAAAAAAACATGGCAATCTTGAAAAGAGATAAATGTATGATCAGTTTAGATATAAAATCTTTAATACAATTAAAAGACAAATGTTCCTAAACAAATGCTTAAATTTACTCAAAACAACACACTTAATGAAGTCAAAAATAAAAAATACCTCTCCTCCACACCAAATAAATATGCCAGTTAATTACTAATCAGTGTTTTTTTTTTTTACCTTTGACTATAACTTTTATAAAGAAAAATTTGGTTTACCAATGGTTCCTTTCTAAGCAGCATTTTAACTTCTCTTTTTAGTGTTTCCTGAAAGAAGCCTTTCATAAATATTTTACTAAAAAAAATTTATTTTAAATACACAGATCATAATCTAATATATCCACAGACCTTTTTAATAGCATTGAACCTATGATAGATTTTACTTTTTGAAACTAAAACTATAAATGCTTTACTTTTCCTAAATACTATGACTGCTTTTAACTAAATGTTTACAGAAAATCTATCAACAAAAATGACCTCCTAAACCATTATTACATATACCAAACTGCTCTAGTTTACAGTGTGAAACATGTCAAAATAGTGAAATTCTTTCCATTTCAACTGTGGATATCTCATTTATTTTCAAGGCTATTTTGAAAAAAAAAAAATGTAAACAGAATTGTATTTTTTCTCTATTCCTAAAGATACATTTTTTTTTCTCATTGATTAGTTTTTATTCCATATCTCTTTAAATTGTTACTATTTCATCTGTCATAGCAGGCACTTTTTTGTATTTTCAAAGTTGACAATTTTATAGTTATATTCTTAAAACTTGTTTGCTCGCTGATGTGTGTCCTCCACACATATCAAAATAATCCCATCTTAACGAAAAAAGGGGTTCTCATTGTATGACTTTCAAAGCAAATGGTTGCAGTATACTATTACTAAAACTTTTACCTTGACCAAGTCATTGTTCTTACAACTCTGTCTAGTGCTGTAATCAAAAGTTTAGTTCCAACTAAAGGCAGGAATTTTTTTTATGGCCTTGTTGGACGATATTGCACAAGTGGCATCAATGTTTGTCTTCAGATGGGACTTCACTATAATACCATTTTCAAGAGATAATGTGATATGAAGTGTTCCAGGAATATTGACTATAGCAGAGGCTTATAAACAAATTGAAACTGCAAATCATCATTAGAAGAAGAAATGTAGGATGACTAACCCTGTCCAGAAAGTCTTTTTCATCAGTTCCAATAATAGTTTTATTCATTTTGGTATTTTTAGTTTGAAGATAATGAGTTTAAAGCTTTACAATAAGCTTTGAAGGATTTACCAATGATTCATTTCATGAAACAAATTTCTAAATTTTTTCATCCTTATTATCCCTTTTTGGCAAGTTAAAAATTGCATAATTTCATGAAATTTTCTAAAATTAGATACATATGAGAAAAAAATATTTGTATTAGAGAGAAATGAACTGTTTTATTGAATTCTTATCTGAAACTTAGTGTAGCTTCAGGCATGTACCTCTCAATGGATACTTTTTTTTTAATAGAAAGTTCAGTATGGTATACTTTTAACTTGTTTTTGCCCTACTGTTAAATTGTGCTTCTGGCTGTTTTTACATGGAGTTTTTTTTTTTTTTTTTTTTTTTTATTGATGTACTAAAAATAAAATTTAGCTTCATCTTTGTTTTGCTATAAATGGTAGTAAGAAATCTCAGTGCATTAACTTTTGAAATTAAACTTGTATCTGCTCTTCTGTGTTGTCTTTAACTATTATGTTTCTTTTACTTTGAGGCTACTTATAGGACATATAATGATTTTTTTAACTAGTCTGAAGCTTGTATCTTCAGTTACACACTGTTGACTTCTTGTCCAATGTCCCACAAAACTGAAATGTGACAATTTAAATGCTCATAACTTTGTTGCTAATTGAGCTTCCAAGATAGATTTGGTACCATTTTTGTTTTATCAAGGTTTTTAGATATATTGAAAAAAAAAAATTAGTTTTGGATATCTACTATTATTCTCACCACTTTGATAGAATAAAATCTGGAGTAATTATAGGATTTTATTTAACACAAAAAGTAGACCTCAATTTTTACATGAAGAAAAATATATTGAAAATAGTCTTAAAAATCTCCAATATCCTTATTTCATCTCCAATGCTAAAAGAAAAGCATACAAAGTCTACAACAAAAAACTTATAATGATAATAATTTTTGTCTGAGTGGTTGTGAGTTCAATCCTGGCTCAGACAGTGTGTACTTGGACTCTACAAACAGGTGAGCAATAATTGAGCAATACTATAAATAAGAACTAGATGAT